AGAATTGACCGATATTGCATTCCAGTTGGCCTCACCTTTTAAATTCAACGTTCTAACTCATTTAAGGGTAAATTAACCGGATAGTCTACTATGTTTAGTGTCTTATCGACTTTGATCACCAATTTAAAAATTAAGGGAAAACGGTCCCTAACGCTATCGATTCATTCAATTTTAGTCCCTTAACCATTACTTTTCATTAACCCCTTTTGTTTAAGTCCCTAACATGGCTGAACTAAAATCGAACGCGAGTTAACAATTGAGTGACTACAAATGAATAGATCGATAATATTAGGGACAATTCCCTCTTAATTTTTAAACTGGTGACCATAGTCGGTTAGATCGAAAACATAGAGAAACTATCTGCATAGTTTACCCCTGATTTAGTTGATTTAATATTTATCAGTATTTTTAGGTAAAGTACACAAATGGTCCAACTATATGGTATTACTTTATTAAGTTCTTTGACTATTAAAAATTATAAAATGATCCTCATACTATAAAATATTATTTTGTCAAGTCCTCTGACTATTAAAAGTTACAAAATGATCACATGGCTATTCATTATGTTCCAAACTTGTCATTTTTTTTAAAAAAATGGACGATATTCTGAGCTAAACACCAACATGTTGACTGTGATATAATAAAATTTAATATTAGAATTTCAAATGACCATCATATCTCACTCATCATGTTAAAGTCCAGTTTAAACAACTGCTAATTTTTTAATGAAAAAAATAAGTTTGGAACATAATGAATAGTCATGTGACTGTTTTGTAACTTTAAATAGTCGAGAGACTTAACAAAACAACATTCTATAGATGGAGAACCATTTTGTAACTTTTAATAGTCGGAAGACTTAATAAAGTAATATCCTATAATTAGGGATCATTTGTGTACTTTACCCTATTTTTTAAAAATATTTTTAATTTAAACCTTTAAAATTATTATTTTTAAATATTATTGATATTTAATTTATTATCAATAGTTGAATCTTTGACTTACGTTTAACCGACGAGTTATTAAAAAATCCATTAAACCTCCTAAAATTTTGGAATTATTCAATTAGATCTTCTTTTTTTTTCTACAAAAATTATCATTAAATATATTATTTTTTGGGTAAGTACGCAAATGGTCCCCGGCTATAGGATAATGATTTTATTAAGTCCTTGAGTATTAAAAGTTATAAAACGATCCCTCAATTATAGAGAGTTGATTTATTGGTTCCCTCGACTATTAAACCTTTAAAAATGGTCACTCGACTACTCATTATGTTCCGGACTCATCCATTTCCTTTAAAAATTTAATGGTCGTATGATTTGAACATAAACATGTTGACCGAGATATGTTAGTCCTTTAAGATTCCGATGTCAGATTTTATCATATCTCAGTCAGTAGGTTAACGTACAACTCAGGTTACCGAGGACGAGTTTGGAACATAATTAATAGTCAAGTGACAATTTTGTAGCTTTTAATAGTCAAGGGACTCAACAAGCAACTTCCTACAGTTAGGAGACTATTTTGTAATTTTTAATAATCAAGTGACTCAATAAAGCATTATCTTATAGTCAGGGGATTATTTGTGTACGTTATCCTATTTTTAATTTTTTTTATTAAACCTCTAAAAATTGATTAAACCCTCAATTTATACGATAAAGACCCATCATTGTGCTAGGGTCCAGCATGAGAAAAACAAAAAGAGAGATGAAAATGAAATGAAGGACATTGCCGTATAAATAATAAATCTAGGTCCTTTTTTTTTATCACTTTATGAGCCTTGGAACATGGAGAATATAAGGTTTTTATGTGTCTGAAATGGAACTAGGCCAGACCTGGGAGGATATAAGTGGTGCCTATTTGAAGTGCACCAACTATCTAAATATGCTCTTATTTTGATGGACCACATGCAATAATCATATTCGAATTAATATTTGAGCTTATAAGGCTAAGTTCGAATCCTATCACTGTCACTCTTGGTGGACAATTTGTAAATTCATATGTAAATTTCAATTGGGTCTTAGGTATGTTCTGGCCCTAGATTGTGGGAGTCATCCCTTACCTAAACTTTTATGTACAAAAATAAAAAGAAAGAAAAACTTAACCAGAAACATTTTAAAGTTAGATGTCATTTGTGTAATTAATCCCAAACAAGAAACATGATAACTTCTTTTCTTATTCGTTTTATATACGGGTAAAGAATAAATTTTATAACTGAACTTTATTTTATCTCTTATTTTATTCATTGTGTTTTAAATGAGTAAAATAAATTAATTTTTTGGTCACTTAATCGTTTCCTCACTAACGACGTCATGACATGTCTTTTTTATTTTATTTTTTAATGGGTAAAATACAAGTGTAATCACTAAACTTTACTCTCATTCCTATTTCGCTCATTATACTTTTAATTAATTTCAATTTAATCACTGAATTTTATGCATTGGATTTTTTGGTCACTCCTCTATTAACATAATGTTGTTAGTGAGAAAACAATTGAATGTCTAAAAAAAACCCAATGCATTAAGTTCAGTGAGAAAATTAAAAAGATTTAAGTACATTGAGTAGAATAAGAGTGAGAGTAAATTTTTGTTATCAAATTTGTAATTTACCCTTTATATTCACAAAATGCACCCACGCATTGTTAGTTTGTACAATTTGGTGTTTGTTGGTGGAATAAACAATGGATTACTGACATTTTCAACTCAAATAGAGTATTAATTATTCTTAAACAACGTAAGATGATGCTACAAGTTACAAGCAAGTGTTGTCTTCTACGTCAAGCATCTTTATTTTCTTCATTTTTAATTGGCAAAAATGTATCAAATGTGCTGATGTGGCAGTCCACAATGTTGACATAACAGTCTAAGGTAACATATTAATATAGTGGATGACATGGTAGATTGACTTAATTAGTAATTCAAACATGACATATGGACTGTCACATCAGTATCGTGGACTGCCACATCATTACGGTGAACTGACACGTCGGTACTGTAATGGTCAAAGACGAAAATTGTTGGTCAAATGATCACATTCGATTTATTTTATTAGTTGGAGAGCTACAATGAGAGAGAAAAATACAACGAGGGCCACAGTGTGTTTTATCTCAAAATTACAGGGACCTCTAATCCCTTTTTGCCTTATTCTTTTCATTTTTAATTGCACTCATATATATATATATATGGTAAACAACGTATTTAGCTTTTATTTTTTTAAAATCATACCTAACAAATCCCTTTTTGCCTTACTCTTTTAATTTTTTTAAATTTTTAATTGCACTTATATATATATATATATATGTGGTAAACAACGTATTTAACTTTTATTTTTTTAAAATCATATCTAACATTTAATTTTTGTTTCATTTTAGTATCTTATCGTTAAAAACTTAATGTGTTTAGTACCTAAACTATCAGTTTTTTTTGTTTTAATACCTAAAATTTCAAAACTTAACATTAAATTTTGAACATGGGTATTAAACTGAAATAAAAACTAAACTTTAGGTATGGTTTTGAAAAAAACTAAAAGTTTATATACTAAAACGGGCCAAAACCGATAGTTTAGGTACTAAACACGTAATTTACCCATATATATATATATATATATATATATATCTCATTGGCTCTGCAATAAACAATGCCATAGGCCCAGAAGTTGCAGATACAAAGAAAGAGAGAGACAGGGTTTTATTTATTACCATGTGGGCCTGACCTGGTTTGCGTTTTTTCAGATGAAATATGATCAACTGAACAGACCATGTAAAAGAAAATTGCAAATGTGGTCAAAACCTGCAAATCCAGCAGTAAAAAACCACATGGGTTTCTGTTTCTTCTGCCCTTTAGACAAGCAAATCACAAGACAAGGTGATCGCAAAGATTCAAATGTTCAAACCAACAGAACCTGTTGTACTTTCCAGTGAACTCATCATCGGTCCGTGATTTCAGGTCAGAAAGAGAGATAGTGTGTGTGAAGAGAGAGATTATAGGGTTTAGTAGATTAATTAAAGCCATATGCCACGTACGTACTACGAGATTTAAGAATTCCTTTTATTAGGTTTTAAAAGACGACACTTTTACTGTAATAAGATGCATGGGGCACATGTAGGGGAAAAGTAGGAGGGAGGGACAGGATTTTCATTTTTGTTTGTCTTGTAAGATAATCTAAAATTGTTTTGAACAATGAAGTTATTATTAACCGAGACCTAGGGGAATGGGATTAGCATCATAAACAAAGCAACATGCAATCGTTGAACGGTATGCTTGTTAGTACTATTCAGTATCTTTATTGACCTTATTGTCATTTGTTTATGTATATTGAAAATATGGTAATCTAACCCCTCTTTTTCTTAAGAATTTGTTAGGGTTTGGTATGATCTAAAAAGTTTATAATATGATTCTCTTAATTAAGAAATAAATTTTAGAAAACGAAGATTTATGATAGATATAAGGATGGCAATACGTTCAATCACATCGGATCATATTCTTTATTGATTCAAACTCGATCAGACTACTATAATCGCCACTCGACACTTAATCTGACTTGAATCTCAATCCAAAATCTAGGGTAAAAAATCACACTTGATCGGAATTGGGTTAAGATTCACTTACACATAGTGTATCCTTTTAGTATCGTTGAACGATAGAAAATCAAATGCTGTGATTAACTCTTTATTTTTTTCGGTGAATATATTATTATTTTTTACTGTTAAACTCAACATTTGATTTCTCTCGTCAAATGATCATAAAAAGGTGTAAAACTCTTAATTTTACATTGGGTGTAAACTTATCCTGCCACACACTTGTTCTATGATTTAATGTACTTTATGAAATATGAGAATCAACATGGGATCCAATATTTAATTTTACCCCACTTGTTGAATTAACCAAAATACAATATGATTCTATAGTCTTGCCTTTGTCCTAGAACTGCCCCCACACTCTCGCATGAATTTGAACTTCATAAATAAACACCCCCTTCTCCTCCTTCAATCCTCCCACACACTCCCTTCATCTCCTTCACGCTCTCTTCTGCTTCAGAGAACTCATCAATGGCGGTCAGGAAATCATCCAAGCTCCCTCAGACCGCCGTTCTGAAGCAAATCCTCAAGCGGTGCTCCAGTCTGGGCAAGAGACACGGCGGCTACGACGAAGACGGACTCCCCCTCGACGTCCCCAAAGGCCATTTCGCTGTTTACGTCGGCGAGAAGAGGAGCAGGTACATCGTGCCCATCTCGTTCTTGCATCACCCCGAGTTCCAGTGCTTGCTCCGACTAGCCGAGGAAGAGTTCGGGTTCGACCACGACATGGGACTCACTATCCCTTGTGAAGAAGTCGTTTTCCGCTGTCTCACTTCCATGCTCCGATGAACTGCAAAAAAAAAACGATTGAGCTTTTGGAGAAGATGAAGATGGATGAGATAAGCATATATAGCAGCATTCTATGGCGCTATGCTTTTCTTCTTTTTCTTTTTAAACATCGATTCTTCTGGGTTTTTTTTCTTTTCATTTTTCTACTATTTTGAACCCATTAATCTGGGTTTTTCTTCTTCTTGACGTGACTAACTTAGCCCAAGAACTATGAAGTTTCTTCTTTTTTCTGGGTTTAATAAGCTGTACAAAGTATGCTCATTGTTAAGAAAAGCAAATTTATTTAAGAGTCCTTTTATGATTTATTTTCATTATATTCCATTTGGATTAAAGTTAGAGATTAATAAGGGAAATTATAAATTTAGTTTATAAACTGTCAGTATTGGTATTTTTTATAATTAAACTTTCAAATTTTCAAAAAGCATATCTAAAGTTTAGTTTTTATTTCAATTTAGTATTTCTATTCAAAATTTAAAATTAAATTTTTTAAAAAATCAAAATTTTAAGAATTAAAATGGACCAAAATTAATAGATTAGGTACTAAACGTGTTAAGTTTTTAATGGTGGTACTAAATTGGAACACAAACTAAACTTTAGGTATGATTTTGAAAAACAATTAAAAGTTTAGGCATTAAAATGTACCAAATTTGATAGTTTAGATAGTGTACCTTATTAATAATTATGTTTAAAAATGGGTAAATTACAAGCTTAATATCTGAACTATCATGTTTATTTCGTTTTAGTACCCAAACTTTATTTTTTAGAACTATACCCAATGTTTAATTTAGGTTTTAATTTAATTTTATGCCGTTAAAAACTCAACGACAATGATCATATGGAATTATTTTTCCTTTTTTGATATTTTAAGCGTCTTGTAACGTAAATTGCACGCCCCTAGTGTCATTAAGTTTTTAACAGTAGGGTACTAAACTAAAATTTAAACTAAACGTTAAATATGATTAAAAAATAAAGTTTAGGTTAAATCAGAACAAAAATAATAGTTTAAGTACTAAATTTATAATTTACCCAAAAGAGTCAATCAAGTGTAACTTTTCCTTCATTATTTCTTCTTCATAGAAGTTGAATTATTTTTTAAAAAAAATATCAAAATTCTTATCACTCATTCCAACAAGCATTAATAAATTTGGAGCATGGATAAAAAAATTCATTTTGGTAATAGGAATCCATATGAGTCGGGTTGGATTGAATTTTGGCCCACTTGAACCGGCATCGAGTATTACACTCTTTCATCTCTTTTTTATTCGAGTATTACACTTTTTTATCCGTCATCGATCTTGAGTATTACTCTTTTTCATCCATTACTCAATTCGAGTTTAAGAAATTTCACCTAATATGATTTTAGATAAAAATCCACATCAAACACACACATATATAACTCCTTTCATTAGGTAAAATGAGAAACTAATCGAAAAAAATAAAAAAGAATTGCATTATTATAGTTATCTCTAAAGTTTTTAGTGATAATTATATTATTATTTCATATTAAATCAATTTGAATAATTTTAACCTTAAATCAATTAGATTAAAATCAGAACATGTCAGATTGGTTACAAATGTTCACTCCTTACACTGGCGGGGCTAATATTTATCGAGGAGTGTACACTTCTTTCGATAAGATCTTGATCCTTTAAAAAAATAAATTGACCCCATCTTTTAAAAAATATTTAATCAACAAATAATTAAATCCAATTTTTCTACTTAAAAGAAAATTGTTATATACTTTTTTATTTAACGCCTCAAAATAAAATTTTTAGTTCCGTATCTGCCTACTTACGACTGAGGGGACTATTACAATTTGGTGCATTGGCGGTGCAATTAGGTCGATCGGGACCACATTGATCGGACCATTTGAGCCATATATATATATATGTGTGTGTGTGAATCTGGTTCTTCCAATACATGGACCAGTATTGAAACCAAAGGTAGCTGGTCCTAAATGTATCCCTTTTCCTGCAACCTTTCTTGTTTCTAACTGTAGCCACGAAATACTAATGCGTTTGGTTTAAGTAGTAAACAACTTCATTTTGTTTAAATAGGTCTCGAGTTCGAGTCATTGTGAATGTAAAAAATCTTCGTTAAGAGACTCATTTATTAAATTAAGTGTACGGCTCGGATTGGTTCGAATTAGTCAAAACGAAACTTTGAAAACCGAAGAAGCAGATAAAAGAAATGTAGCCACGAAATGCCTACCGACATCATCTTCAATGTGTAATGCTTCTGCAATCTCCTCATCAGCCGTAACAATATATATATATATAGTTTAAAATACATTTATACAGTAGAAAACACGTTGATATTAAAATATAGTTATTAAATTAAATAAAATTAATAGTTGAGATTAAAATTTTGTTCATTCTCATTATGCATCTCTACTGATATCTTCATTTTTAACCGCGTATATTAATTTTATTTAATCTAATAATTATATTACATAATTGAATATCAAACTATTCAGATAATTTCTCAATTATATGATTTTTTAGGTTTAATTATGAAACAAGTGGCTAAACTATACCGTTATTCACGAATTGGTGCCTAAACTATTTTTTAAATTATCTAGGTGTCTAACGTTACAAATGTTGTCACCGTTAAGTGACACGTATAGCTATTAGGTAATTGAAAATTTTATCTTTAAAAAACTTAAAAATATATTTTAAAAAATTCTAAAGTTTTAAAAATCTTTAAAACCTCACCAAACTTTAAAAACCCTATATCTAATCCCCATACCCATGCCCGTCGCCGTTGATATCGGTTGGACTTCCACCTAGTCATGCCACCGCAGAAGACCAATTATCCGAAGAAAAACCGCCATAACAGCAACCAAAGACTCCTAAAATAGCGATGAAACGGCGACCATCGTGACTCCATAGCATCAACCGACTACGGAGATGGCAAAGAAGGTGTCAGAGGCAATGGCCGTGGTGGAAAACGAAAGTGAAGTTAAGGTTAGGGTTTGAGGATTTTAAGGATTCTGAGATTTTTTTATAATTTTAAAAAATAGGATTTTTATTAAATATAATATTTTTCTATTTTTTTAATTATTTCAAAATTACCTGATTTTGTCACGTGTCTATTAACAGAGATTTTTAATGAATGTTACGTTCTGAACACCTAAAGTGATAACGTTTGTAACATTAGACACCTAGATAATTCAAAAATAATCTAGGCACCAATTCATGAAAAATAGTACAGTTCGAACATTTATTTATTTTTATAATTAATTTTTTTTTCATTTATGCCCACCGACTAAATAAAAATAAAAATAGTACAGTTCGAAGTGACTAAAATAAAAATGGAAGTTAAATTTGAATAATTAGAACGGAAATTGACCTAATTTTGATGACTAAAATCAAATCAATACTAACGCAAATAAACTATGTGCAACTAAAATAAAAAGGGAACATAAAGGTGACTAAAATGAAACCAAAAGTTAAATTTGGTGACTTAAACAAAAACATGAATTAAGTTTAGTGAGTTGTTTGTAACTTTTTTATGTTTATGAAAACTTCTTATAATTAGCAGATCCACCATGGAGTTTACCCTTTATACTAATCAATAAGACCCATGTTCTTAGCTCAAACCAAATCTTAGCAAGTTTACTGTATTCTTTTCCAGTGCATCAAACCAACCAGAGAAAGCCATAAGCATTAGAGACTACTTGCCAGCAGATCTTATTGCTTTTAGCTCTTCAACTAGTTTCTCGAGCCTGCTAATACGAGCTTCTAGTGCTAATCCCGGTATGTCGGTAACAACTGCACTTTCCTTCGACGCCATTGACGCTTAGCATTTTGTGAATCGGTTGTTTGGGGTTGTCGCCAATTTGACGTTCCGTTCTTCCTGATTCTCCTCCCATCACGACTTCCTCCCGCGCCATCTTTAGTTCCCCCTGATCCTTGTAGGGACCTTCGAAAGTTTGTCCTGATCTTAGCACGGATTCATCCTCGATAACCTTTTCTGCCAACATTGCTAATGGCTCGAAGTATTTAACAACCTCGTCGTCTGCAATTGTCGATGAAAGACCTTGGGAACGGCCTGATGGGTTTCCATCGTCGTCCGAATCTTTAGTTCGGATTTTACATCGCTTGTTGCAGGATCTCATCATTTCTACGATTGTTGGGTTATAATCCTCAGTAGAATCCTCTGCTTCCTTTCCTTTAGAGATACGCTCGAGACTGATAGGGTCCAGGGAGCTGCATTGGTTCTTTCTTTCTATGGTGCATGGTGATTCTTTTGCACTCGCTGAAGGTAAAACATGGGAGGCGACATCGCTGCTGGCTTCCTCCTTGTCTTTCGTAACCAATGCTGGATTTTTGGAGCTTCGGAAAGCCGATCTAGAAGAGGCAGACACAGGGGTATCTTTCTTCATTCCTTTAGATTTCTCTGCACACTTTAAGCGTTTTTTGCTCAAACTGGGAGAAGCAGAATCACTGTCGTCTCTATTCTTCCTTTTCAAAGTTCGTGCTGATTCTTTCGAGCTTCCCAAAGGAACATTGGGAGAAGAAGATTCTTCCCTGCCCTTTTTGTTTCCTTTTGGATTCTTGGTTGATTTCTTAGAGTTCTTTCCACAAGAGGCAGAAGAACTCGATCCATTGTTGCACACTTGCTTTTCTTCCAAAATCTGGGATACACTCTTTGATTTCTTAGTCTTGACGACACTGTCTCGTTGTTTCTTTGAGCTCTTCACGGTGCAATTAGGCAAAACAGATGGATCATTAGCTTCCGTCTTTCTATGGAAACTCTCTATTTTCTGATGAAAGCCGGAGCAACCTGAAGAAGTTTTCCCATGCTTCTTTCCTTTGGGATTCTTTGCTGATTTCTTCAAACCCTTAGCTGTGCCTTTGCTCTCGAACACCGAATCCTTCCACCACTTCAGGTACCGTGCTGTAACACCAGCCTTATAGAGCCGAGATGGAATGTACAATTTTACACCAGTCAGTGATTCACAGTAATTGAGCCAGGCAATCTCATGAGTCTGATTTTTCGATTGCGGAACAAAATCTGGAATATCCTGATCCATTCCAAATTGCCTTGCAACTCGGTGCGGAAGGTACTGTTCTATGCAATCAACTCCCACTAGCTCACTAGCCCTCAAGCATCGGACAAAGGACTCTAGTTCTTTATCGAGTCGTGCAGTGGTCCGTATACAAACTTCATTCTCTCTATAAAACTTAGGTTGTTTCCAGTGATCGATCTGCATAGTATAAGGACGCCATTTGAAACTTCCACCAGCCGATTCTAGAACTAACCTCACATTCTCAACCTTGCAACTCACATCATGCCATCGAACCAGCCTCGGCTCACCTTTTGGTATCGGATTCGGTTGAGGTCTTAGCTCTGCAAACCTCTCCCAAGCCCAAACCTGAACTAATTGAAACGGCGACCAAAGGGTAAGCTTAAACACCTCTTCTTTCGCCATTTTAGTCGAAGCAATGATAGCATCTTTCAACAAACACAAGTCTCTATAAATACTAGCAAGCACAGCAGGTGCTAAAGCAAGCTTTGTCCCTCTAGCTAAATGAACAGCAATGGAGAAAACATGTTCTCGAATCGTTTCATACGCGTTGGTGAAAACATACCTCGAAAGCCAAAAGGCGAGGAAAGCTTCGTGCTCCAATTCGCCGCCATTGTCCATGAATCTCTGCATCCACAAACGAGGGCAGGCCTTTTTAGCTTTGCTTCTCACGATTTCGATCCGAACGTTCTTTAACCCCTCTTCAAGCTCCTTCGATTCATCGGTATCGAGCTCGGCGAAAACAGGGGAACCCAGAACGGAAAATCCCCCGAGAATCATGACATCTTCGAGTGTAACACTGGCTTCGCCCCATGGAAAAACGAAACTTTTGGTTTCACAACACCATTTCTCAGCTAATCCGAGAACTAAATCACTGTTTCGCTTAATCTGGTAAGTGGAGTTCAAGATGGCGTCGAAGATTCCTGCTTTCTTCCAAGTCGATTCATGCAAAACCCTCATTTTGTCGACCCAAATCGACCAATTACTTGCCCGGCATCTCCACCCATGGTAACCGATACTCAAAGGCAGATCTTTGGGATTAAAAGAAGATTGTTCCAGAGATGAAAGATTTTGTGAAGGGAGCTTGGGAAGTGGGGTTTTGAGGGAACTGAAAATGGGTTTGAGGAAACGAGCTGTTTTAGAACAAGGGTCAAGGGTTTGGCAACCTGGTGTAACCATGAGCTCTTCTTCTCTTACTTCAACCAAGCTCGTTTCGGGTCCTTCCATGGCTGAATTTAGGAGGTTCGAACAAAAAAAATAGTGCAACACTCTAGGTGTTCGAAATATTTTTATTGAAAAAATCTCAAGCGGATAAATTATTTTTAAAAAAACGGAATTTTTAACACGGTATACCAAATGGAAAGAGCAAGAAGAAACTAAGACGGAGAGTGTTTGCGGCGGAGTAAGTACATGGCGGCGGCGGCACCGTCACTTCGCCTTGATTTATTTGTAGATTTGAGCGACGTACGGACGGACGTATGGCATAAACCAAGCTTTGGCGAAGAGAGGGGACAAGACCTGAGATTTTTCACCTTGAGGTTTAATCGCGTGCGGTTGTTACCATTTTTTATATGTTTTGTGGAGGTTTGCATTAAGCGACGACGTTTCAGCTCGTTTTTACGTCGAAGTTGGTAACGTTGGAGTCTATATTTTTAGGAAAAGACATCATGGTTACTGTATTTTTTAAGGAAAAAAAATAGTTAATCTAACATTTATATTATTTTTCTTTTAATATAATCATTTAATTCATAAAATAAGAAATGATCATCTAGCTCAGTTGGTAGAGCACAAGGTTCTTAATCTTGTGGTTGTGGGATCGAGTCCTACAGAGGGCATTTTAAAATTCGGAGGTCTCTTACGGAAACTGCTCTCAACCTAGTGTTGGGGGTAACCTACTATCTTATCTCCCCTAACCTCATATATATGGGAAAAAGGGACAGCCATTTAATTCATAAAATAAATTTATTGTAATCTTTGATAAACATTATTTTTTATTGATTGTTATGGTATAATCGTGATAGTTTATGGTACTAATGTGGTAGTTCATGATAATGATATGATAATTCATCTGTCATACGTGTTTAAGTTATCAATTTAGCTCATCTATTATGTAATCTACGACGTTAATTTGTCAACGTAGACTGTCAGATCAACATCGTAAACCACCATGTCAACACCGTAAATTATTACATCAATACCATAACGGTCAATAAAGAAAAATATTAATCAAAGAAACACATTAGATTTATTTTTTAAATTTGAATATCACATAGAGAGAAAAATAATATGAGAGTCGTGTTAATTTTATTTTAAAAGTATTGACGCTTCTGATATATTTTTTAGTTTTTAAATGTCTAAAAATTTTGAATAGCTTGATATACGTAAATATTATACGTACCGAAACAAAGGGTTACCAAATTTATATAATAATTTTTAAAGTTAGCCCAAAATTTTTAATATAAATTATTTTAGAATGTTTATGAGTTTTATTTATTTTTTGTTTCGTGAGGTCAATTAATTCGGCAAAGTTTGTACAACTTCCTCATGCACCATCCAAATTCTCTCGCTTAATGGGTTTATCTCTACCTATTTTAATAAATTATGAATCGGTTTTACAATTATAAAAAAATTATAAAAAAAAATTAATTTAAAAATGTTCACGACTTTCGTATTGTTACTGTCACTTTTGGTGGACAATCTGTAAATTTTTATATAAATCTTAATTGAGTTTTAGATATATCATGATCCTAAATTGAGGGAACTATCTAGGGATGTCAATGAGTCGAATTGGGTCAGTTTTTGGTCGACTTGATCCGACTCAAAAAATATATATTATGTCTAAACTAGATTCAACCAAAAGATTATATATACTCTACTCTACCCGACCTGACATGACCCACAAAATATATATTCATAACTCGACTCTGATTCGATCCAAATTTTTAGAGTATAAATCTGGCCTAACCGAACCCGAATATATATATATATCTGCCACCCGACTTCGACCTGATTCATATTTTTAGAGTATAAATTCGACCTGACCTGACCCGATATAAAATAAAGACTTATTTTAATATTTTTCACCCTCTATCCAAACCCGACCTAACTTGACATCACTCCCTTAAAAAATTTGACCTGACCTAACCTAATTTTTTTAAAAAACCCAATCTTATAAGACGAAATCAAGTCGAAATACGTTGGTTTCGGATTAAATTTCGATCTCTATAAATATCCTATTAAAATAACACATATTCAGTGAAACTTTATCTATCTCCTTAATAATCAAATTTAATCTTTATTTTAGGAAGAGATAATACAAAAGATGAGAATCTCTTGATAGGGAAATTCTAAAATATCAATATTTTTATTTTTATCCACGTTTTTATGGAGAGAGGAAAGAAAGAGAGAAGGAAAGAATGAAAAAGATGACAGGGTAAATTACAAATTTGGTATTTGAACTTTACTCTTTTTCCTATTTCACTTACTGTACTTTAAAGCTTTTCAATTTCCTCACTCAACTTAATACATTGAGTTTTCTTAGTCATTCGGCCGTTAAATAGTTAACGGCACTAAAAGGGGCTATTATATAGATGCAAAACGATGAATTTTGGATAAAAAATTATTTTTTTAAAATGACGTCGTTTTTAACGTCGTTAACTATTTAACAACAGAGTGACCAAAATGGGACAAAGAGTAAAGCTTAGTGACTAAAAAAACCTAATGTATTAAGTTTAATAAGAAGATTGAAAATATTTAAAATTTAATGAACAAAATAGGAGAGAATAAAGTTCAATGATTAAATTTGTAATTTGCTCAAGATGAAAATATCTCTTTCAAACTTATCTTCTTATACTACGTGATATTCTTAACTAATATTTGTACGAGATTCGAAACTTTTTATCGATTCGAATTTATGGTAAATTTATTATTTTATCCCTCAACTTTAAAATACTTATAATTTAGTTCAAGATTCAATTTCGAGATAATTTAATTAAAAACAAAGTATCTGAGCTATCTTAGTTCAATATTATTTATTATTATAATAATAATTTGATAACTTATATTTAATAATATCATATTAGGTAATTTTTATTTTTTTAAAATATTATATTTATATAATTTGGTAATGCTAAGTATGAAAGGGAAACAAAAAGGAAACAAATTTATTGTATAAAAGATGAAGAAGAACGAAGGCCAAATTGTACTTTTTAAAAAAAATCAATATGGCCCTAGTATATTTTTGTCTTAATGTGGCCCTCCAACTCATAAAATAAATCTAATGTGATCCTTTGACCAACGTTTTTCGTCGTTGAATGTTGTAGCATTGAAGTGTCAGTTCTCGATGCTGACATGACAGTTCATCTACCATGTTTGAGTTACTAATTTAGTTAATATGTCATGTCATCTACCATCTTGGACTGTCATCTCAGTACCATAAATTACCACGTCCGAATTGTGAACTGCCACACAAACATCGTAAGGGACAACGATGAAAAAAATTGGTTAAAGGGTCATATTGAGAGAAAAATAATACGAGGTCCATATTAATTTTTTCCAAAAGTACAGGGACTTATGATGCCTTTTTGCCTATAGTATATAAATGTTCTATTTGAAAATGTAAGAATAAACTGAGGACCTTTTTGCTACTACGCCTAAATAAAAGCATAAGGACTAAAATTCAAATATATGAAGAGTATAGATATTTGTCGCAATTTTAACCACTTTTAATGGATTAGAATCTCGTGGTGCCACCTCATGGTTCTATCCTTTTTGAAGTCAAAAACCTAGAGAGATAAAACAAGGTTAACATTTTTAAAACCACATTCTTCTACTGCGCTTTACCCTTATAAAACCCTCTTTTTTCCCTTTCAAACCCGTTTCCCATGTAGAGAAGCCTCAGTTTATCGCCTGTTCTAAAAACCCCATCTCCGGCTTCTTTTCAACGGACAAAACTGACCTGGACGAGAGTTTGTGCCGTCTTTTAGTGACGACGACGATAAACCCTGGGAAGAGTGTGGTGTCGTAGGCATATTTGGTGACCTTGAAGCCTCGCGACTATGCTATTTGGCCCTCCACACGCTTCAGCATCGTGGACAGGAAGGTGCAGGTATTGTAGCGGTGAATAATAATGTTCTTCAATCTATTACCGGTGTTGGTTTAGTTTCTGATGTGTTTAATGAGTCTAAGTGATGTGATCCTGTTTAGCACCAACTTTCTACATGACATACTCACATCATTGAAGAACCATCAAACTCAATATAAGGAAGTTCTACCATACTTTATATTATATTTACTTATTTATGCACTATATATATTATTATGAGCATACATTTGCATATTAGACTATACTTGAATTATCATAGTATGTGCATTCATTCATTATATCCTATGGTTTGTATCATTGATTGATATTCATGTATATAATCTATAGTTATAATATTAATATTCATTCATTATCATATGATGCATGAGTTATTATTATAACCTATAGTTCACATCTTTATAATATGCACACCATTATATTATATGCATTATATAGTTTATATACTTAGTTTATTTCTTTATGTTATGCATATAGGAATATTCGGCCAACACTTGGGAGCTACATTTGAGCTTAACTAAGGATACGGAGCTAGGAAAACTTACATAGGATGACTCGGGAGATCATGAAGAACAAATGGTGAAAAGTTATCAACTGACCCCCGAGCTCATAGCTCACTTGAGCTGGACCTTTGAGCTATCTAGAGACCTCATTTCAGCTGGAGAGTTGCATAATCATCACCACCACACAGAGTACTTCAAATATGGTCTAAGTCAATTTTTGTGGATTCGTACCTTTTCGCGAAGAGTTGCCATTCCAAGAGGTGCCTTTTCACAAGGAGCTGTCCAAAGACTCATCTTCATGTAATTCACCTATGACCAGCTCATCTTCAACTCATACACACGGGAAGTAGCTCAAATGATGAAAGGTTACCTTCCACAAATGTGACCTTTCATGACAAGTTGCTGCCCATTGAAGACCATGACACCTAGATGCATGTTGGAAGCCAAGTCACGCCTAGTTGTTGTCATCTTCATTCCAAGGAATTCAAGACATTATCCTATGGTTGCAACCTCACCAAAGCCTTGTAAGAAGACCCATGTGCGTTCAAGTAGGCTGCCATGTGCATCATTCAAGCATGTGTACTCCATGTAACATCAAATTGGCGCCAAAACACCAAGGGATG